GAATTAATGCTTAAATTGTTTGTAATTTCATGATATATAAAACGCTGAAATTATTTGTTTTCAGTCAATTCTTCCACATCTGAAGCCCTATTCTTCACTTTTCTGACTTTCAAATCAGACAAATCTAGTGACAAATATTTGAAAACATTATTATGTAACATATACTAAAATATCAAAATATTCTTAATTGATAAACAATTTAAATAAGTACCGAAGCAATTGGGTTGAGTTCCAATCCATTGTCCATCTTTGCAGACATGTATGGCATCTCCTAATAGGACTTCGGTTTGAGGACTATTGCACTGGTATTGAACAGTCGTGCCGTCGATGGCATACCATTTGGTTTGATTAAAATAAAATACATCATTGAAGCGGACAGTTGTAAACTCGGGATTGATTTGATTGTCTTCACCTTCAGGTATGGGACACACAGTTTTAGGCACACATGAAGGGTATGTGCCCTTCCATCTCATGTCATAAGCACACTGTCTCTTATGTATTGTCGTATCTATTAATTGATAAATAATCTCAATTATAATTTAATATAATAAAATAGATACAGCATAACAATAATGAACTCAATGGTTACTAATAAACTATACCGGGCAAATCGGGATTACTTTCGGACACGTAATCCCAGCTTTCAAGACATTGAATCGTATAATTGATATCNTATAATAAAATAGATACAGCATAACAATAATGAACTCAATGGTTACTAATAAACTATACCGGGCAAATCGGGATTACTTTCGGACACGTAATCCCAGCTTTCAAGACATTGAATCGTATAATTGATATCTGGCCAAAGGATTCGGGTGACCAGACCGTATGGTTCTTGCGGTTCGCCACAAATAGCTTGATTAGTAATAGGGATGTGATAGGCCTCACCCAATAACACCATTATTAACTTATAAGCGATTGGTTTTGAGCTCTTTGTCTCGATTATGATCTCATTGGATGGATTGCGGAGATCTTCTTTGTAATCGGCGTCAGAGTTGGCGTCACATTCAAAATTGAACTCAACTTTTGTGCCAAATCTCCACAATTTTTTTAAATCTCTAAACACATGTCTACAGGTTCTGTGCGGACCCACACTTACAGCGGCCGTCAAATTTAATTGCAACGACTCCTCGACCGATACGTTAAGTAAATGATAA